AAGTTACGAATTGAATGCAGATGGAGACATGAGGCATATCAGTTAAGAAGAAAAAAGTTACTGGTGGTAGAAACTCTTGTGAGTCCACCCCACCTATTTCTGCCGTGAAGCAGTAATGCGTTTCGGTTTGAAGGATGGGGCAGTCGTTGTAACCATACTGAGACCTTAAAACTTATATCTCAAGGTGGGTTGCGCATTTACGTTGTCTATGAGGTCCAGTAACCACTTAACACCAGGTGAGCTGTGAGCTCGTCCACCCATCTAAGCCATAAAAAAAGACTAAAGTAGATTTAGTGACGTTATTACGTCAATACTAAAATAGAGATAATTATTTTTTCGTTTTTATTAATACAAACCAGTTTTATTAAATCATAGGACACGAAATGACATCAACTGTTCAGCTTATTCTGTCATTAGGACCACACGCATGCAATCGGTCCACTGCGAGGTGCACTAGATCAACGACTAATCTAGTAAGGAGTAGAATGTGCTGTACACTTTGTTTACTATTTTTTATTATTCTTCCTAGGCGGACGAGCTCGCAGACCGTATTGAACGCACCGAGATTGCAGCCTCCCTTGAGATATGAGATCGTGGTCTCAGTTGGTTTATATAACGGCTGCTCTAGTCCAGAATACACGACTGCTTTGCGACACAAAAGCGCTCACAATATGCTCTACAACCAATACTCGTGTATCAGCACGGTCATAGAAAGAGAGAAGTAAAAAACGTGCCTAATGTAACAATGGACACAGCCTCCCAAGCCGTGTGTAGTAATATAGAGTAAATAACGAGTCCTTATCCCTCTCGCAGGGACATTAGCACCCCGAAGTACTCAACGGATGCTGCATGCTTCTGTAATGGGCGGTTCCATGACTTACACACATTGATAACACACGCTCGTTAGAGGTTGCGAGATTGTACTCGACTGGAGATGGCGCGCGGTTTCACTTGCCTTCAATTTAGAATTAACAAATAAGGAAGCATCGAAAATATGTAGTAGGCGATCTTGTCATTAATCAGTTAGTGACTATTTCTACTATATTATTTTATATATGTATTATTATTCTATTCTACTATATTATTTAGCTTTCGGAGTCTAGTTGTGATAATTTTGGGGTCATTTAACATCCATTAAAATGTTAAAAAAAACAATGTTTCCTTTTCATTGTTATCATAAACGTGTTATGTTTACTTGCCATTGTTCTAGACGGGTATTTGAGCTTATGGCTATTGCTGAAATCAAAGTGTTATTTGGGCATAACTTGCGGCTGAAGTCGGCAGAAGCGATGATGGAGTGTACCATAGGACCGCACAGGCACCGGCGTTCTCCACTCGCGAACCGATCGTGGTGGGTGCGGCAGTCGCATTTTTTTTTTTTTTTTTTTTTTCCACAGGAGAAAATCGCCGGATCCCCACCCGCGCGGCAGGTGGGGTATGTGGGAGTTGAACCTCACTAAAAACTCCTGCCGCTCACAACCGGCGCCCTACCTCGGACCGGGCCGGAGCCCAGTCGGGGCTATTGAAACGGCGGGACAGGGTTGACGCAGAGCACATTACATCCATCCCACCGTCCCACGGACGCCGGACCGGTGGCCGCCAGCGAAACGACCACCGGTTCCCTCGTTCAGCGGGCCGAGAGCCCGCTTTGATGGCGCCGCGTTACACCTTCCCCCAGAGCGGTCGGGGGAACGCGGTCTACCATCACCCGGCTTCCTATTGCGGGTGAGCGTGCAGAGCACGCCACCCCTCGTCTGGGTCTCTCCCCGCACAAAACGGGTGGGACCCCTAGCTCTTAGGGGGCCAGGTCACGGATACGACCCCGGTCCCGACCCCCTGCTCGGCGGCGGCGGGTTTCTGCGTAGTGAGGAGAGCTTTCCCTCACTCGCCCCGCCGCCTCCTTCTGCGAGATGGTGCACTCGCAGAAGTCGAGCATAGCCTTCCATGACTCATCGCTGCCAAGCATCGACGCCACGACGCCAGGCAGCGACAAGTCAGGTCCTATCTTTGCGACCAGGACACGGCGCTGCACCTCCCAAGCGGGGCAGACAGCGAGCGTATGCTCCGCCGTGTCCAGGTCGTGTCCACAATGGTGACACCTCGTCGTCGGCTCAGCCCCTATCCGGCGCAGGTACTTCCCGAAGCATCCGTGCCCGGTCAGCACCTGCACCAGACGAAAGGTGAGACGTCCCTCGCCACGATTCACCCAGTCATCAAAGACCGGGTAAACCGCCTCGACGGTCCGTAGCCCCCACGTGGGGTTGGCCAATCGCCTCGACCACGACTCGAGCACGGACCGCCGAGAATGGGCCTTCCGCGCCCGCAGCTCACTCTCGGGGACACGCGCCACGCCCCGAGCACGAAGCTCGCTGCGCCACCGATAGTCGGCAGCGAGCGACTCCGCCTCCAGCTCCCATGGCGGCGTCCCCGCCAAAACACACGCCGCCTCGAAGGAGACGGTGCGATATCCGCGGATGACCCTGATGGCAACGGTGCGCTGCGGCCGGCGCAAGAACCGAGCCATAGTGGCCCGGTTGCGCGGCTCAGCCCACACAGGTGCACCGTACAGGGCCATCGATCGCACCACCCCCGCGTAGAGACGGCGCACAACCTGATCCGGTCCCCCAATATTCGGGAGCAGCCGGCTCAAAGAACCGGCCGTCCCCATCAATCGGGGGACCAGCTCCGCAAAGTGAGCACGAAAGGCCCACCGGCTGTCCAACACGAGGCCGAGGTACTTCAACTGCACCCCGACCCCTATCCGGACGCCTCCAACCACGATGTGGGTGTCAACGGGTGGCGCCCTCCGCGGCCCGTGAAACCACAGAGCCTCGGATTTATTGAGCGCCACGTCGAGACCCAGCCTCCTTATCCTTCCGACGACGAGGGCCACTCCCGCTGTGGCGAGACGGGCAGACTCCCTAAAATCATCCCCCCGGGCCACGACCAACGTGTCGTCCGCGTAACAAATAACGCGGAGGCCCGGGAGGAGGGCGCCCCTCAGCACCCAGTCGTACCCGATATTCCACAAGAGGGGGCCGAGAACCGACCCCTGCGGAACACCACGCACGACCGGAAAACGATGAAGGGTCCCACCGTACCCGGTACATACGACCGACCTGGCCCCCAAATAGGACCCAACCAGCCGGCGGAGGTAGAGGGGCACTCCATGCCTCTCCAGTGCCCCCCCTATCACGGTCGGCAGTCGCATTAGGATGTTTTTGAGCTCCAGTAACCAGCTAACGCAGCCGAATCATTCACTCTTCAGGTGGTGCCGCAGTCACATTAGGATCTCTATGAGCCCAAGTAAACAGCTAATGCAGCTGAGGCATCTCTCTTTAGTTCAATAAGTATAAGAAGATGGTGACAGAAATGGTGGTAGCTGCAGGTGGTAGCAACTATCAGTAATCACCACAAGCTCATATTCATTACAAGTAGGGTTGCCATCCGTAATTTATAATAAAGTATTGTACGCTATTACAGATAATGTAGGTATAATAGCCGGCAAACTTCTTGAGCATTTGTTGACGTAGTGGGGGTAAGTTTGCGCATGGTACACTCACGTGCAAAAACATTATTTACTCTACGTCATAATGCAATTAAATTATTAAAATCAACATATGTATTTTTTTATATATTTATTAGAACATCAACAAAAACTTTAGGTTAATAATTGTAATAATTTAATCTTGGGGTAAAATAGATATTCCTTCTATTAAGTCAAAACTAGAGCCAGGTCTTGGTTCAGTTGAAGCGAAGCTGGTATTTGTATTTTTTTTTTTCGTTATCATGATCTTGACCATCATCACCATCACTGTTTTCATCACCCGAGTCGCTATCATCGTGATTAGTCGACATAGGGCTCATCGGTGTAGTTTACAACTCGGTCGATTCGGTCTTCTTTTTTGTCTATAATTAATTATTTTTTGAAGATATTCGATTCGTAGTAATCGAATGTTACTTTTTTCAATTACCAGCTTCCGATTATTTTCTGTTCTTTTTTTCCATCTAAAGCCTNCGCAACGGTTGCCGAATTGTCGTTTTTATAAAACTCGCGCACACAAAACGCACGGTCCGCTCCGGTAAAACGCTCCATCGCGACTAAATTCCCAGAAACCGAAGTTACTCCCCCCGCTTCCCCTGCACCGCTCACGCGCGCCCTGTTCGTTTTATTCAAATTTTACTTTTCAAAGGACTTATGGGCCACCCTGTAGAAAGGCACTATGATTTGGCGCATGTTACGTTGCGTCAAGGAGCGTTAGGCTCATCTAGTCAATTTGTGTGACATGAAAAGAGCGCGACGTTAAGAGGCAGCGCTAAGTACGCGTTCTGTTTGACGAAGCCTTACAGGCTTTTATTGCTTAGACGATGATTTTATTTGTCAGTGAACGTTTTTGCTCACTACCTTCGCAAGTTCGTGTTTCTACAAGTACCGTTGTGTAATGGAATTAAAACTTCAGTGTTTAATTTGAATTATGTCCAGAAGTTTAGCGGGTGAAAGTGCTATTAGCAATAAATTGCTATATTTGAAAATGGTTGAACGTAAATAAGATGAACGACGTTCATTTGCTTAGTATGAATCCTTTCGTTTAAGAAATATCGAACTCGCAATATAAAGCAAAGTGAGTTCTGCATTAATTACATTGCGTGCAAAAAAATTGAATTACAATCTGAATAGTTCTTGAAGATTGTACACTATCGGTACAAGAAAAGCTATAGCTTGTCTCGTTTAATATTTTATTATTCAGTACATTAGATTAAGAGCCTTCTTGTGTAGATCATATAACACATAATGAAGACCTAGTTTCCGCAGACAGAGCTTATGATTCGATTTTGAATTTTAAGGAAACGACTGCTCGATCATTCCATTTAACGATTCCTAATGTGTTTGTATAAAGGAGTTATCTAAAATATTTATTGTAATTAAAATAAAGTTGTAGATAAATATGCAACATTGAAATGAAATTGAAAATGTTATAATGTAATATTATTTTGTCCAGCCCGATCCAGCCATTCAAGATGATCTCCAGGTGACTGATAGCGAGGAAGAAGCAGAAGATGGGTTGTGGTTCTAAGCGGTAAAGATGGTGGTGATGAGAAAAGATAAACGTTTTCGAGAAATTTCCTCGAAAGTCTTCAAACAGTAAACATTTAAATGGAGTTGGAGAGTGGAGAGTGGAGTGGAGTTGGAGAATTGGAGAGTGGAGTAAATGGTAGGCAGTGGCTTGGCTCTGCCCCTGGCATTGCTGAAGTCCATGGGCGACGGTAACCACTCACCATCAAGGGCAATAAAAAAAAGGGGTTACAAAAAATGTCACCGATCTTTGTTTCAATATACAGAACATGATTGATTGATTGATTTTTTTAAAGTGTATTTTAGAAAAATAAGCTATTAAAGAAATAAAAATAATATTTGATATGGACTTTTAATTTATTTAAGCTTAAATCACATTCATTTTCTATGGCTAGTGAGATAACTATACCACTGAATCGTGAAAATCGCATATCAATCGCATCAGAGACACAACGTGAAATATGTTTAATCTTTCTTACACAAAATAGTGCTAATGGCGAATTTAATACGCTAAGGGGTTCTTAATAATGAATTCGGTTTTAAACAAAGACAAGCTTATTAAAAGTTATCAAAAAAACGGTCTGTCAGTCACTAAGGCAGTCATAGTATATCTTGCCGTACTAACTAATACCTAGCACGCACTGGTATTCACTCACAATAGGTATATATTCACTATAACAAATTTGTATGTGCTGTTGCAATTGTTGCGTTGATTTGATTTCTTTGAAGTCGTCGTGGCTTAAAGGATAAGTAGAGGCTCGATACGTAGGGTGTATTCGTATCGAGCGATGCTACTTTGCCGGTGTTCAAATCCTGCAGGTGGGTACCAATTTTTCAAATTAAATATGTACCTAAAAAATGTTCACGATTAACTTCCATGGTGAAGAAATAATAACATCGTGTAATAAAAATCAAACCTGCAAAATTATAATTTCCATAATTACTGGGCGTGGGACCTCTTGTGAGCGTTAATTGGTGTTAATTGTAATTGTTTTGTCTGAACTACTAGTCATATTGACCAATTTACCTGATTTTGTTATTTACAACGCATTCATGTTATATTGATATACAAAAGCAAAGGTCATAAGAATAATAGGCCCCGTGAAACCACAGGACTTAGGATTTGTCGAGCGCTACCTCCAGACCTAGCCTTCGGAACCTGCCGACGATGAAGGTCACCTCCGGGAAATATACAGTTGAGTTAACCTGATAACCCACTATTTTATTGATTAGATGGATGGACGAGCTCACAGCCCACCTGGTGTTATGTGGTTACTGGAGCTCATAGACATCTACAACGTAAATGCGCCACCCACCTTGAGATATAAGTTCTAAGATCTCAATATAGTTACAACGGCTGCCCTACCCTTCAGACCGAAATGCATTACTCCTTCACGGCAGAAATAGGCAGGGTGATGGTACCTACCCGCGCGGACTCACAAAAGGTCCTACCACCAGTAAATATTCTCAATTCTTACAATATAGCTATAGGAGATTTATCATTCTACACATAATAAGTTCGTGCTTTTAAATATTAAGTCATTTACTTAAAATGTTAATTTATACACATAAGAAACTTATATCTCCATTTGGCAGTATGCATATGACCTCAATAACTCACGTTTTGCGCAGAATATTAAAACTGACGTTTATTCAAATACAGCTGTTATAAGCTCGTTTAATCATGCCATTGTGGATGTTTGTATTCAAATGTATTCAAAACAAAGCCATCTTCAGACGTACTCGATGAATAAAACAAATTCACGTTTGTCGCAAGTAGGTATTTGTGAATAAACTTTATATGTCATCGCAACACTTCGGCTTATTTTTGGCAGTGGCTATCATAGTAGGATTATTTATATAATACCTATATAAAATACTAGCTGTACCCGTCCGCTTCGCTGGGCATTTAAAATTAACATTATTATTTCTCACCCCCACAAAGATTCTCATCATTATCGCCCCCGCAACTGGTGTAGGGAGTCCAACACTCATATAAATATTAGCCTATCCATTAAGTACATGTATTTCTACATGGATACCAAGTTTCAAGTCAATCGGATGCATGGTTCAGTAGTTATAACGGAACATCCGTAAAAACCACTGTAGATTTATATATTTTTATGAAATAGAATATTAACTTAGCTAATATTGATCTTCATTGTTTTTGCGCTCTGTAGAAATTCTAGCAAGTATAATATAATAGAAAAGTTTTCGTGGAGCACGCCGTCATGGTTTACTCAAGTTCTGTTTTTAAGATCTTCATTTTTTTGTCGCGAATACGAGAATATAACCCACCTCGTCACCATCGCTCATGGACATCAGCAATTCCAGAGTTACAACCAAGCCGCTGCCTATTGCTGTTTTACCTACTATAGATTTATATACAGGGTGTCCCATAAAGGATATACCTGCTCATTGGTGGTAAGACCTCTTGTGAGTCCGCACGGGTAGGTACCACCACCCCGCCTATTTCTGCCGTGAAGCAGTAATGCGTTTCGGTTTGAAGGGTGGGGTAGCCGTTGTAACTATACTGAGACCTTAGAACTTATATCTCAAGGTGGGTAGCGCATTTACATTTTAGATGTCTATGGGCTCCAGTAACCACTTAACACCAGGTGGGCTGGAAGCTTGTCCACCCATTTAAGCAACAAAAAAAATAGTGTTCTTTAAGAATAGTTGATTCGAGGAAAAAAATATGTTTCTAAGAACTTACTTCGGAATAAAGGGTACTTGAACATCACGAACAAATTATACTTCTGCCTGTAAACTATTATTATAAAAAAATATTACAAAAATCTCAATAACTCCGGATTACTTGAAATATAAACATTCCGCCAGCACTGGCGCGTTACATTTGCGGAAATAAGTTTTAAGTTTTTTGAGTTATTGAGCTTTTTTTATTTTTATCTTTTTTTTTGCTTAGATGGGTGGACGAGCTCACAGCCCAACGTAAATGCGCCACCCACCTTGAGATAAGTGAGACAAGTTCTAAGGTCTTGTATGTTTGTATGAAACTACTGAGTACAACTTATCTTTTTTTTTTTTATCTTGATCTACATTAGGCATATTCCGGCTTGATATACCCTTTATGAGAGACCCGGTAGATTTACACTTTCTAGATTATCTTGAATAATGTGTTACTATTATACCTAATTTTCAATAATTTGAGTATTGTGTTAAAAGTGAATAGACCGTCGAAATATGGTAAATCTACAAATGTATCAATACCAATGTACACTATAAGTTATATTAATATTCGACCTCATAACGAAGCAAAATCTAATATGTCAACGTTATAATTTTGCTGTATTGGGAATAGAGATGAATGCTCCGGATTGCAATCATCGGAGTGCCAATAAAGTTGACACCGTGCACTGAATACCAATGTAGTTGGCAATTCCCTATAATTTAGTTTCGCCAATTCCATCGTGTAATATGAATACGAAATTTTAATAAATAGTCGCGATTTACCATAAATATTTCTTTGGTAGTTTTACGAACGCATGAAAAACATAACAAAGACCTTTTTTTTATAATATTTCTGTTTATTCACAGAATATGTGTCTGTTCATCAAAACAAAATGTTGCTTATGATTTTTTTATTTTTGGAACGAAGTTCCTTAAGGCAGGCTTGGAGGAGATAGGGATTTTGCTGCGCGACCGAACTGAAAAAAATGTGATAGTAAAAACCGTAAGAAAAAGTCCGTGGAATAAGGCCTTGTTTTCCGCACAGCGATATTTCACCGCGCGATTTTTTTCTCATAATTCATTTTTTTTTTTTTTATATTTAACTTCGTTCCTATCCGGTGTCCCACGACACCACACTTTTTTTTTTTATTGCTTAGATGGGTGAATGAGTTCACAGCCCACCTGGCGTTAAGTGGTTACTGGAGCCCATAGACATCTACAACGTAAATGCGCCACTTACCTTAAGATATAAATTCTAAGGTCTCAGTATAGTTACAACGGCTGCCCCACCCTTCAAACCGAAACGCATGACTGCTTCACGGCAGAATTAGGCAGGGTGGTGGTACCTACCCGTGCGAACTCACAAGAGGTCCTACCACCAGTAAAAGTATTTACCATGAAATCAACATGGAAATTATTTTTGTTAACAATTAATCCTTGATACCGCTTGAAATACAAATTGCAATGCAGTTATTAGTCAGAATAATAAATACGTTCATCTATTACTTTATCTAATAATTAGGTACATTTTAATTTTTTTGCTGTTGTAAAATTAATTAATATGTTTCAGTTTTTTGTCATACGATTTAAGTATACATAAATGCTCTAAGCCTTTTTTAATGAATTCACTTATTAAAATCGTAATCCTTGTACATTAAATATATACCTTATTGAATAGTATACAGAGCAGCAATCAATAATACAGAGTTAGAATCTAAAATGCACTTAAGTTCCGGGCAGGGATCAGAGCGGGCACGTTTTGAACTGTGACTTGACTTCAGTTTATGATTGCAGTAACCGCAGTACTTGCCCAGATGGCTTACTGACCATTTCGATTTTATCGGTCTCAATAAATTCCGAACTGAAACTCAAATTGAATTTCTATGTACACAACGTTCATTTTGCTAAATACATAGGTGGTGAATACTGCGGAAAAGAAATTTCGATCTTTTTCTGATTCTAAACCACAAAATATAATTGACTGACTCAGTGGTGGAGAAGTTAGCGCCCCTCACAATTCCGCCGGGGGCTATGAGTTCGATTTCCATATGGGGCAAAACATTTGGGTGATGAACAGTTTTGTTTCCTTTTTGTCTGGGTGTTTATTATCTACATATATATAAATTTAAACGTATATAAGTATGTATGTCAGTCTCTTTTACTTATAACACAGGGAATTCCAATTTAGGGGTGGATGGCCGTGTGTGACTCGTTTCCAATTAATTATAAAAGTTATAAAAAAAATCTGATTCTTTTCATGCGTTTACACACGTATATTATTAATTACACATTACATCCCAACATTAAAGAATTACATTATATACTATATATGAATATACTATATACCATACGTATGTAGGTATATACACAGTCATATTATTTTTCTCGTAGCAAACGGTTAATCTCAAAAGCATTTTGAGTTATACGGGTAAATTCCGCTGTGATCAATTCAAAAAGTTACCAATTGTCCGAATGTAGCAAGCACCGAATTATAAAGTTTTCCGCCTGCAAAGGCGAGCTCCGACGGCGGATAAAACTTGCACAGCATTCCTCTGCCGGAAGTTGGCGCCTGTTTAGCATATAGAATGGCCGTAGGACGTAGCCATATTTTTCTGCGGGTAACAAACATTAAAATGCAAATACACACCGCACTCAACAAACACTTTAAGTGCACTTAGATCGCATTAAAAAGGTATAACTACTGAAATGCCGAATACAACTAACTTAGGTTGATTTACGTGATTTTTCATCTAGCTTTATTCGGTTTTGTGCCTCTACCACTAGAACTAGATGGTTCTTCTTTTTCTAGAAGCTCTTCGTCGATGAGAAGATCAAAATTCCCCAATGCTTCGGCGCTAGGTAATTTATTCCAGCGCACATCCGGCACACCGTCCGGTGGAAACACCACACTCAATATGTTATCAATCAATTTGTATTTCAAAATCCTGTCGTTCACCGTTGTCGAAGTTAATGATGGAGAAGCATTCACTTCGACAAGCCAAGGCTTTAGTTGATTGTCGATAATAATGTCATAACCGTAACATTCAAAACAATGTCGATCATTTGCCATTACCGATGATACGCCTTTTAGGGAATGCACGATTAGCCACTGAATGGCGGAGAATAATTTATCGGTAACAGCTCTTCCTTTAGTGCCTTCTAAATACAGTCTTAGGTTCTGAACTGTCATTTTACCCCCGTGTATATTGTTATAATCACCTCCATGTTTTTGGACACTGACATTTGTTAAGTGCACGTACATGTTGTCCAACTCTGTTACGCTTGTGTCGTATTTGACTGTGCAAAACCTACAGAAGCCGAGTTGGAATAGATAAGCCTTCAGAGGTCGAAAAGAAGTGACCAACACGTAAAGACGTAGATCAAACTTTTTCCCTCCTATTAGTAGAGGATTGTCGATGTACCGAGAAATAACGTAACTTTCTTTACTCAGTTGCGGGTGAAAAGGAGTTTTCGCCTCACGAGACCATTTTTTCAATTTCGAAAGTTTATTTATGAGAAATATTCCTGTTCCCTGTGACTTCCCGCAGGGCTTCATAATCCAGGTGCTTTGCGGTGATTTGCGGTACTCTTCGACGAACATATTGTAATCCGCTGGCAGAACAAAAGTCACTGGTATAAAGTCTAAATGGACATAACGCGTGACAACTTGACCTCCATGTAGAACTACTTCTGCTTTTTCGGCTAAAGGATTGCCTTCTCGCTCGAGTTCTTTCCTATATCTCTTTATGTTCTTCACGAGCAAATCTTTTCTGGACAATTCGTAATGATTGGGAAAGTGATTAATCATTTGGTTGTCATTCATGCGGTATCCGCTTTCTACGCTGAACAGATTCCTGCAAGTCTGCGTAGATGCCCAATAAAAGTTCCATTCGTCGTCTGGTCCGACTTGGTTCCACCCTCGTCGCTCGAAGTTACTCATCAGAACGGACTTTTCCAAATCCGTACAAAAACTGACCCGGCATCTTTCTATAGCGGGCATATTAACTCTTCCATATAAATTATTGGCCACTTTCTTCGCTTCTTGATTCATTGTTGACACTTCGTTTCGCCTGCGTACGCAATATTTGCCCAGTTGTGCTGTATTGACCAAATATTTACGGCACAGTTACGTAGTTACGTTGTCATCGTTTTCTGCAAATATCGTCCGCTATTGGCCGATATCCAATCTCGTTCGTTTCGCTATGACTACGTGTAAACACTGCCGGCAGGTACCTATTGATTTTAAACGAGTTTTTTGTAACAGCACACGGTTTACGAGAACGCTTTGGTGTTGTATATCAAAGGAAATTTTTAAAGCAATCTATTCGTAGTAAATGAACGTATTTTCTTCGATGTTGTTAATGCATCTGTAGAGATTCAAAAAATAATTAAAAAGAAAAGTAACTACGTAACTTATTATTTAGGTGTATGCGTGTACATATTGTTTAAAATTGTTATAATTTCTAAGAAGAAGCCCGTGTCTTACGTGAAACAAATCTAATTATGAGTGTTAATAAATTAATTTTCATTCCAAGTATATTGAATCATGTAAGACAAGGGTTTATTTAAACTTTAGTAATTAAATCCCAAATTAAATATGTAGGTATTTTATGTTTTAAGTCGAAAACTTATTATCATAGTCGTAAAAAGTAGGAAAATGAAAATGAATTAATAAAATTCGAGAAAAATAACAAATGCTGATCTGGTCCTCAACTAAGATTATAGCAACAACTAATGATTCATTTCAGATCTCACTAATATCTTATTCTGCTCGACATTTCAAAGTGCAGATCTTTCAGAAGCAGTAACTACCTATACATACATGAGTATTTCCCATTCATCTGTATTGAAAAATGGGAAGCAGTTAGGACGACTCATGAAGATAACGACTAGGCTGTTCTATACAATTTGAGACTTAAAAAATAGTTAAGATCTTTTAAAAATTAACACAACCAAAAACGATATACTTTTTAGGCGAATATTATGATTGTTATTGAAATTTCGCCTTGTACTCTTGTTTGGTTTATTTGAAATACCATTACTGGTGGTAGGACCTCTTGTGACTCCGCACGGATAGGTACCACCGCCCCGCCTATTTCTGCCGTGAAGCAGTAATGCGTTTCGGTTTGAAGGGTGGGGCAGCCGTTGTGACTATACTGAGACCTTAGAACTATATCTCAAGGTGTGTGGCGCATTTACGTTGTAGATGTCTATGGGATTTGTAGATGTCTACTCCAGTAACCACTTAACACCAGGTGGGCTGTGAGCTCGTCCACACTACTAAGCAACAACAAAAAAAAAACAAAGATCGTCTGGTGCAAATGCTTTCGGTGTTTATTAAAAAATATATGTGAAGTCGTCGTAGCCTAAAAGATAACGCCCCCGGTGCATTCGTATCGAACGATGCAACTGTGCCTGCGTTCGAATCGTGCGGGTGGGTACCAATTTTTCTAATGAAATATGTACTTAACAAATATTCATGATTGACTTCTACGGTGAAGGAATAACATCGTGTAATAAAGATTGAGCCAGTTAAATTAAGAATTTTCGTAATTACTAATAGGCACGTCTTGTGAGCCAATACGGGTAGGTACGACGACCCTGTCTATTTCTGCCACAAAGCAGTAATGCGTTACGGTTTGAAAAGTGATGTAGCCTTTTTACTATAGAACTGAGACTTAGGACTCATGTCCCAAAGTGGGTGGGGCAGCATTTACGTTGTAGATATCTATGAGATCCGGTAACTACTTAACACCAGGTGAGCTAGTTTACCCGTCTAAGCAATAAAAATCTATATTAATCAAATTATGAAAGGCCATGAAACATTATTGTAATTCAGGTAAACTGGGAAAAATCAGATACTGCATAAAAATAATATATTCAACGCGAATAATTATTAAACGTCACCAAACTATTCCAAATTTAAAACACATAACGAAATAGAGTAAAATAAAATCCAACTATAAAACTGAACCAAAAATTTATCGTATGCTTTTAAACAGACACGAAGAATCGTAAACTTTCATTAGTTTGATATTAATACGAATCCTTGCCCCTTTGCATCGTTAAATGCGGGTAGATTACTTCATAACAGCGTGCACAGACTATTAAACGTAGTTTTCTGACCGACCGGTAAAAGGTTTTCCTAATAAAAGCCATACAAATAATACGAGACCCAGGAGTCAGGTAAATATTGTTACAAACGGTTGAACAGCGGAATATCGTTAAGGTAAGGAGAGTACAACGGTTTTTGATTAGACAATCGAAAATTGGCATTTCTAATTTTGTTTCCGATTACTGCGACTGTTTTTTTTTTTGAATGCCATTTTGCGTTAAAGCAATGGATGCCACATGAATGTCGGTGTCGATCGAAGGAAATAAAGACTCAGCTGCTTAAAATATTAATAAAAAATATAAAATAATTGAAACTTCCTGCTGACGATATTCGAGCGGTAATGTTTTGTAGCTGAGCATATGGCTCTCCTATTATTTTAGTGGCGTTCATAGTAGTTTAAATATATAATTTTAAGCAATTGCATAGCTTTTATCGCGGGCCTTGAGCGCGGCGACCGAAATCATGAAATTCCGTAACGAAAAAAACCTTACACCCCTCACTCCGCCTACCATGTAGCTCGCGTTCAACACATTCACACGTTGCGCTTGTGTACTGTTTGTGAATAAGCGCGTGGCGTGACGTCACACTGCATGCGCATTATGAAAAGTCTGCCCATCTCTCTCTCGCGCGGTCTAGCTTATGAGTGTGAAGGGGACAGTTAAGGTTTTGCTTTTATTAATGTTTAATATAGCGTGGTCTTGTTTTATTATTGTTTTAATATGAAATTATCATTGTATTATTATAATTGCATAAGTTGATAAATAATGCTATGCAATATCTTTACCGCGGCAGTTCCCGAGTGCCACACGTTTTTTTTTTTTTTTTTTTTTTTATGAAAAAATATGATGAAATATCTACTAATGTACTTCTGAATATTGCAGCTACTAGAATAAAAAAGCTTAGATGGTGCACGCCATATTGGCTTCCGAAGACTGGTTTTTGAGAATTTTCAAGAGAAGATTTCTAAATTGTTCTAAGACAACAAACGTGATTGGTGTACTCAATATTTCTCTTAGCTCGATCACCCTATTCGCCCCTATGATGTCTGACAATGGTGTTAATAATTGTGGCTTCTTCGACATATATATTAAGCCAACCGATAATTGGATTTGAACAAATCAAACAGAACTAATTTCGTAATATGAAGTGAACACGGTACCCGCTAAACGTATTTACTGCATTTCTTTTAATCAATCTTTACAATTCTTTATTTAAATTTTTATAAGTCGAACACTCTTTTAAAATAAAAAAAATTTAAAACGAAAAACATAAATAAACATTCTAATCTTAAAAAAGCGCTTCACCAACTCATAAGGGTGCCAACCGCGTTGCTAATTAACGTAAACAAAGACATAAGTCAGTGTTCCAAACAATTTTTAACCTAAAAGCACAGGAAATAAGATATTATTTATATTGTAGTTTTTAGAAACTAGTCAGCTTCAAATGCAACTTGAATTTTATTTGTAATTTTCAAGTGAAGTAAGTCTGAATGCTCTATCAATTATGAGCGAGCTTTCATTTTATCTTTTCCGACGAGAAAGAAAAATATGCCTTTTCATGTTTTTTATTTAAAAGAACAGGACTTTCAGGATTAATTTTATTCTGTTAGTGTAGCATTCGTAAAACGTAACGTTTTCGTTACAATGGTGTTCTTATGAAATCAATTTTTTTTTATTGCTTAGATGGCTGGACGAACTCACAGCTCACCTGGTGTTAAGTGGTTACTGGAGCCCATAGACGTCCACAACGTAAATGCGCCACCCACCTCTGAGATATAAGTTCTAAGGTCTCAAGTATAGTTACAACGGCTGCCCCACCCTTCAAACCGAAACGCATTACTGCTTCACGGCAGAAATAGGCAGGACGGTAGTACCCACCCGCGCGGACTCACAAGAGGTCCTGCCACCAGTAAAAGAAGACTCTAAGGTTTTGAAGACTTTACGGTAATTATTGTTCATGATTTAAGGTCTCTGTAACCGTTTAATATCTAAACAAAACAAAACAGATTTTCTTAAAGAATGACTTTTTTCGATTCAGTATAGGCAATACGTTTATTACAAAAACGACACACGCATGTCTTATCGTTCTATAAGGTAATAAATCAATAAAAATTAACAGAGCAGTACACCCTTACGACAGTGTTGCCAACATTTAATTTATCGATTTCCGAACGGAAAGGAGCAATAAATGGCTTTGTTTTACAGGAGCTTTCTTGGGTAGGTGCCAAGACCACCAAACATATGTAACTAAAATTCTACACAATTAATGGTGTCAAAGCCTTTCATTATTTACAACCTCACCAGACTATATACCTAACTCGAGTTGTAATGTTGGTGCTAAAATTTGTAATTTGATAAACTTAAATAAACTTTGTCCAGTATCCACAAGATCTACATTTGAATTAACTTAAACTCCCAGCGAGTTTCATTTTAAATGTGCAAACTTCAAATATCACCATTCCGATCCATTTACCAGCGCGAAGCGATAGTACTGGGTGAACTTTTGGATTACATTACCCCGAGGATTTGGTATATACTATAATCGGAGCATTTAAAATAATAATAATACTAACCACTGAACACAAACTAATATTATTTTCTATTTCGATGTAGCTAGTTTTTTTTAAGCATTATACGTGTTTTGTATTCTCCACTTAAGACCGTTTGCTTATTCCACTATCGAAAAAGGTAAGTAGAAAAATGTATATTTAACCAATCCATAGTCAGAGTTAATTTTATATTTGTCTCAAATATTTTTATAACAACACTTATCGCAGTGAATATTAAGATTACAATCAGAAAAATATCACGAATGCAAAACGGACCAAAGTCTAAAGTTTGAGAGTCGTCGAAAATTTAATTCAGACAGTGAAACGCCCGGCTCTACGTGTACACCTTGTGTAGTTTGTAACGTAAAGGTTAAATTAGAATCCGAAGGGCATTTTCAAAAC